TACATAACAAAGGGTTTTCGAGTTAACGTGTCAGTTAATGAGTCCTCAGGATTGTTGATAAAAAAATTAGCGGCTTTACCCACCAGTGCTGGGTATTTGCCATTTGTTGGCTCCGGCTCCAGCTCCGCCGGAGCCGGCTCAGGAGCCTAGTACCCACTCTTAGTAGGTATCAGAGTAGCCGGGTAAAAAGCATAAATTAATTAGCTTAAAATAGTTAATTATTTCAAAACAAAAGATATTATGTATTATTTTGACATAATTATGTAAGTCAAATTTCCCGGTACCGTGGGCCGAAATCTACTAATTTAAACTTACTAAGTTTATCATGAAACTCCGTCAGTTGAAACAAATGCCCGACTACATGAGGAAAAAATATTCGGACAATATCATTGCCATAACAATAAGCACCGTTGTTATCGTGATGGAAAAATGTTCGTTCACTTTGGCGATAAAAATTAGAAGCTCGATTTACACCCAAAATTTCGACAATATCACTCCAATATATAACCAAACCGTTCATAGCCTCTACATAAATTCCTCGATGAATTCCCCAATCTTGGGATGTATAAATAAAAGTGGGAACTTTTTTAACCAAAAGATATTTGATTAAATTATTATAATTTTGGGTATTTCCAAAGTAAAAGAATGATTGAATTAAAAATAAAATAAAAATTGAAAAAAACATTTTTTTTAATTTTAAAAATTAAAAGATTTAGTTGGACAAAGATAACTTTTTGGGGAAGCTGGTAGAATTTTAAATTGCTAGTGATGGGCGAGTGATGGGCAAGCAATTAGACACTCTCATTTTGAATAAGAAGATGGGCGTTTAAATTTTAAGTACAATTTTGTACATAATACGAGGGTTAAAAATTAAATTAAATATCGAGACTTTTAATGCCTCTTGATTATATTACCATCATTAATTTCCCTATTAATTTGTTACAGGACAGTTAAATGTAAATAAAGCGGCAGAAAATTAAACTCTGACAAAAACAAAATTTGAACCGTATAACTAAATATATGTCTGTGGGCGGAAAATTTCTATTTTACGAAATTCCAAATTTTCCGGAAGATTTGAAATTTTTCTAAAATAGAAACTTTCTGCCGCCATGTTCAAGTAATTAAAAGAAAAATTATTTTTATTTTTTAATTCTTTTACTCAAAAATGTTTTTCAAAATTCTCGATTTAGAGTAATATTTTAGTCTCGATTTCACTCTAAAAAATTTAAATTGAAAGCCTTGTGAGTGTCTTATGTCTTTCTTATTGATTAAAACGTGTAAAAAATTTTTTAAATTAATTAAATAAATAAAAATTTAAATAAAATTTTATTTAAATTAAATTTAAAAAATTAAACTACTTTTATACTTTGAATAGGGCTGGAAGGTTTGGCGGTTCCTAGGAAATCGAATATCTTCAAAAGGAATCTTCAAAATCCTTTCTTAATTCCTTGTTTCAGATATTGGAACGTAAAACGTCTCATATAAACTTTCTTCCATTTTCGGTTCTGGATATCAGGCAACGCCAACCTAATATACAGGGTGGGGCAAAAGTTCGGCGACAAATTTTATTTTGTCCTTTCTTAAAATCTATTTTATATTTTGCTTTGTTTTTAGATTTCCCATATTCTATGATTCACGCTCTACACATTTTATCTTGAAAATTTTTTCCTATCTCATAAAGTAAAAATTTTACAGAATGTTAAAGAATCGTGCTTCTATTATTTCTTTGTTTTTTAAAAATGTTCGAAAATGTGACATCGCTAAACGGCTCGATTCTGTCGTATGTTAGTTTCCAAAGCAATAAAGCGATATTACGAGCTTGGAAATACTAAGGACCATCCTAGTAGTGGCCGGCCGGTAACCGCAGTTACGCCTGAAAGCATAAACGTGGTCTGATGCCGAATTCGCCGTTTTTCCGAACAATCGATGTGAAAAACGGCCTCAGATCTCGGAATGAGCTCGAAAAGCCTCCTAAGAATTGTCAGATTGAAGCTTAGACTTCGGAGCTAAAAGATCAGCCGCGCATATTTCCTTATCTATCGAATGAAGCATCAGAAGCTTCAGAAATGTCGAAGGACTAAACGCCTGGTCGCAGCTGGTCGCCATAACAGAGTGATGAAATGTAAAAATTAATGCTAGTCTAAAAATGGCATTCTGAGGGGGGTTTTTGCATTCTTGGGCGTTATAGCATTACGGAGAAAACCAATTCTCGCTTCATCAAGATTGCGCACCCGCGCATGGAGCCAAAACGACAATCCAGCTCTGTGGGGAGCTGTTTCCTGGTTTTTGGGGGAAGGATTTAAGGCCTTCAAACTCACTGGATTTAAGTCAGTGGATTATTCTATTTGGGCATTTCTGGAGCAAAAAGTATGCCGAATCCGATACGCAACATCGGAGGAACTAATGTTGTTTTGGAGCGAGCCTGGAACGAAATAACCGATGAACAATGCGCGACCATTGTGAGTATCATCCGTAAGTGTTTGGATGCGTGTATTTCAATCAGGGTCGGTCATTCTGGGAAATTACTTTAATAAAATGATTATTATATCCTATTGATTATATTTTATCATTTTTAAATCTTAAATAAAATTTTTTTACAATAGATTTTATTAAAAACATTTGTCGCCGAACTTTTGCCCCACCCTGTATGTACATAAATTATTTTTTTGAAAGCCTTGTGAGTGTCTAATGTCTTATGTCTTTCTTATTGATTAAAACGTGTAAATAAATTTTTTATATTGATTAAATAAATAAAATTTAAATAAAGTTTTATTTAAATAAATTTAAAAAATTAAACTTTATAAGTAGGGCCTAGTAATGTTAGATGATATAAAAAACACTTTCTAAAATAATGTTAAAAATAAAATTTTTACAATATCGGTTTATCGATAATAAATAAGGAATCAGGGTTATAGGCCTTAAAAACCTTAAAATAGGTATTTAAGTATGTGGTATAAAATGTATTTACAAATTAGGTGACAAAAATGGATAACTTTTATAAAAATGTATGAGACAAGAATGCAAATATTTTTTATTTTCTGTTCAAAAATTTCGTAGCAAAAATGCTAAAAAATAACTATTTTTAAACTTTTCACTGGAAAATAATAATTAGGAAAGATTGATAAATTTTTAGAAAAATTTTTTAGGTTTTTTCAAAAATTTATATTAATTTTTCATAAAAGTCATATAAACTAGGGGTGCGTATCATTTTGGAACGCCGTGTATCTAACTATAACAAATAAATATCCATTTGTGGCGTCTTAAAATTTACTCCCGATGTTGTTGGCTTACTGCCCTGGAATGGGACAACAAATAAGAGACATAAAAATTTATAATAAAACCTTTAAACGTCTATTGAAATAGGTATTTGATCAAAACGAATCACAAACTTTTTTCGCCATAAATATCGAGGAAAATAAATATATTTCAATACAAATCCGAGCCCTATTTATAACTTATTTTTCCTAAAATTGTTATGTTGTGATACGCTCAAATCTGTTATTATTTCTTAAATATCTTATCTATAACGGGATATTGTCTCCTATTGAAAACTTTTTAGGTGTTTTGCAAACTAAATTATGTTGCAGCCATTTAGAATATTTTTATGTTTAGTCAACCGTATTGGATATTTTTGTAAAAATACACTGCTCCACATAACTATAAGTTCACCCTAAATTTTCAAATTTCTTAACTTCTATCGGATCAATCGGGCTGATTTTTATTTTTTATTTATTAAAGCGTGTATCAATTCATATAAACCCGAGAAATCAAAAAAATTTCCATTCAAAAATTTTTTATCCAATTTTTTCAAAAAACACCCTCCACATAACTATAAGTTCACCTACAGATATCACATAAGGAATGCTTGAAAAATTCTACAAAAATTCATGCAAATATTTTCATTGATAATAAGTGAAAAATAAAAAAGAACCAAGTCTGTAAGTCCTTTTTTCATCGAGATCCAAAATCTCAAAAATCAACGGGAAATGGGGGCTACAGTACTTTAAAAATATATTTAAAAGTGTAGACTGTAAATAAAAATTTTTATTATAGTCCATCTGAAAGCCCCCTAATTTTTGAAAAAAACTTAAAAATTTTTAATTGTTTCTTTCTTAATTATTATTTTGTTTTGTCACAGAAATTTTTGATTCCTAACAATAAGTATTATTAATAAACTGATATTTTTAAACTTTTATTTTTAAAATTATTTTAGAAACAAATATTCTATGTTTTTTATATATTATCTAAAAGTACTAGCCCCTAATTATTAGATTTAAGTTTCTAATTTAATTTTCATGTAATTTTATTTAAATTTTATTTATTTAATTAAATTTAAAAATTTATTTACACGATTAAATCAATAAAAAAAATTGCCTTCCCTCGCAAGGCCTTTGAATCCATCATGCGTCTTATAGATTTTCAAAATTCTCTATTCCTTTATAATAAAATCGGGACTATAATTTAGCTAAACTCGAGAATTTTTGTAAAAAAAAGTCGGAAAATACAAAAAATATTTTCTTTGTTAAATAACCATAGCTAAATAAGATTTTAAGTTCAAAATTTTTAAAGTTCAAAGTGTTCTTAATCTGCTGACAAGAAAATTTAGAAAATCTCGTTTTTTGGCCGTTAAAATTCTTATTTGCTGCGCCTCATGGAGGATGCTCTTGTCATAATAACACCTATCAATTCCGCACAATTGAGGTATTGTTTTTACGCTCTTTCAATGCGTCTATTTATCTCGATGTTGGTCTCGATACTTTTAACTCCTCGTTTTTACTTTAAAAATCCCCTATTGCCAATATTCTATCTATTTAGTGTAGCATATGACAGTCTGAGAGTCCTTGCCGCTTGTTGAGACTTAGAGAGGCCTTGGCTCCTTGCTTGCTCTCCCCTCTAGTAAGAAAAGGGAAGCCTGACTGCCATCCTTCATTTTCAATTTTAAATTTTTAAAAATATTTATTGTGTTTTTCTTTGAAAAATAGAATTTATAAAACATCAAAATGCTTCGCTATATTTTAATTTTCCTTTTCTTCAATTCATTATGTTATAATGGAAAAGCAGAATTAGCTATTTTTGATAAATTTGTTAAATACATTTTGATCAATAAAAACGTTCAGACCCAACTTTTTGCTTTTGATGTCGAATATGGTTTGGATGTCCTTCGAGGAATTCATGAAGATATAGTTGATGAATTGGTTATATATTGGAGTGAATTTCCACAAATTCTGAATCAACACGAAATTGCTTACATTTATAATGTAATTGGCGATATTGTTAAGATTGATAATGATAATAATTATTATTGGAATGTTAAAGATATTATAAATAAATTTAGAAGAAATACAGGACATTTGTTTATACCAACAATATTTTATGAGGGCCTTAGTAAGTTTTAAAATATTTCAAGTAAAGTTGATATCATACATGTCCGCAAAGAGAGATGATTAAAAGAGATGATTATTAAAATATTTGTAGTATGCAGCGTTGGCAGGCCGAAACTTGCGGACCGAAATTTGCGGACCCGACGAATTTCTCAAATCATAGCTCATTCGAAAGAGCTCGACGACTGAGTCCAATGACATCAAAATCATCGTGATTGTACAAGCTTGGACAAAGTTACGATAGAAAAACAAAAACCTAAACCTATGGTCCGCAAAAGTCGGTCCGTAAGTTTCGCTCTACCGAAGCGTTATAAAGAATGCGACGTTTATTATAACTTAAGAAAAATTTTTTATGCGCTTTCGAATGCGCATTACAAAACCGATCATTTTCCGTAAATTTTGTTATACCGGATTTGGGATTCTGGCATTTTCATGTTCTTCTTTCTTTATAAAAAGGAGTATTTTTTACCAAGTTTCTTCGAAAATTATTTACAAGATCCTCTCCATAACAGGCATTTAACATGATGTTTGGGGTGTATTGTATGAGGCATGTGTGCCTTAAATCACGAACTTAGAAAATTTCCGGTCCATCAGTCCCTAATATTTACATTAAACTTTCAGAAAATCAATCCTATTGTTTAACTGAATTTCTGTTTGAAAAATATGGAGAAGAATTTGTAGTAGGACAGGAAGCTTTAATGACACATCCAAGGACTGAGGAGGAAAAAATAAATCATTTAAATATGATTAGCTATGGAGATAAATATTATGTTTATCGTTTGGATTCAAATAAAACCGGAGATGAGGAACGAGCCTTTCTTATGAACGGTTTTGTCAGTAATCAAAATGGTTTTGATAAACTCAAAGAATGTTTACAAATCAAAATTTTTGGAGATGAACAGGAAAATGAACAGAATAATCCAACTTTTGATGATTTTTATAAATTGTATAAACGTTTCCACCCAAAACAATTATTCTTCAAAGATATCCCAATTTGTAAGAATGTCAGATTAATTAGTATTAAAATATGTCACCTTTTTAGTTCACGAAGGAGTTTATTATAATCATCACAATGAAGATGAAGATATATGCCTTTGTCGCCGACAGGCGACGATTTTGTCACCTTTTTTCATAGGTTTTTTCCCTCTCCTAATTTCACTCAATATTTTTTCCCATTTCTCTGATTTCTATTTAATTTTACTCCTGTCGTCAGTTGTACGTACTATTTCCTTTTCTTCAATTATTTTATTGCTAACCACGCCCATTTCTTCTTCGGCTGGATTTTACTCTATTTTCAGTGTTAGTGTTAGTTCATTCACACCCCGTTCAGTTCATTCGTTCCATCCAGTTCTCACTTTGAATTTATTTGTACGTGCCTTTTACTTATTTCTGTCCGCTCCCATTGATTTATCTCGCCTTTATTATATTTGTTTGGCTGCCTTTGGAAAATAAATATTTTTATTTCTTACTTCGCTGCTTTTTATTCTTTTGAGCTTAGTCGCCCTTTTTCTCTTTGTTTAATCGCCCTGCGAGTGCTTTTGGTGACAACGGTCGATTAATTTTTAATCGACCTTCAGCAGTCTACATTTGGCCGTCGACTAAATTTGGCCGTGCTCTTTGTGCAATCGACCTTTCTGCAACAACAACACCGTCGACTGTTCACAGTCGATTACAATTGACCGAAAGGACAATTGGTCGACCGTTCAACAGTCGACTGCACGTGCCAAAACAACTCTCTTCTTTTTGTGCCGAGGGAACTTGGAACAACGCGTGGCTGGTCTGACTTCAACGGACCTGTGTTCCTCGACAACAAATCCCTCGCCCAAAAAATTGGTGCAACGGCCGGGAAAAGCGCCCACATCAATTGTCAGTGCGCAGCTCGGGTCAACAGCAACAACCGTCGCCAATCAACTCAATTTGTACATCAGTCACTGGGTGTTCATCACTTGCTTGGTGCTTCACTCCACTGGTGTGTTCAATCAACTCAATTTGCTCATCAGTCAACTAAGTGTTTGGTGCTTGTTTGGTACTCTTCACTTCACTGGTGTGTGCAATCAACTGATAGTTGGCACTGCAGCCGTCAACTATAATCAACTCAGGGCAAACTACAATCGACCGTCGTTAACTGCAATCGACCGTCAACTACTATATCTGTGTGAGACAACTAATCGACCACTGTCAGCGTCGACTCTAATCAACTGTCAGCAGCCTACTATAACTAATCGACTCCCACTTACTGCAGTCGACTACCAGCAGAGAAATGCCGTCTTCAGGACCAATCCGCCGTGCTATTGCTCCTGTTTTGCGAACTATGAGGGACAGAATTGCAGATGCTAATGGACTTTTGGATCAACCAGTGATCAATCAAGCAACAACTAATGGACTTCGTGTGGTCAGAACTCAACTGGAATCGTCAATGGAACGCGTGAATGAACTCAATACTCGTTGGCTGGAACACATGGACAACTTGGAAGAAAATGCTCTACAAGTAGAGGAGGCTCTATATGACAACTTTCCGCCGCAACCTGAGGCTGAACAGGATTTGCCGCACGAACATTTTATGGACTTACACGAGAGAGCAAGAGGAATTGTGGAACTAATCAACTTGACCATGGAGGGTCATCAGGGCCAGCAGCTGCCCGCACAACAAGTGAATCAACCGAATATGGTACAACAAGCCGTCCGACTACCTACATTGGAACTACCGCGCTTCGATGGAGAAGCCCACAGATACAGAACATGGTGGAATGCATTTTCAGTCGCAGTTGATCAGCAACCGACCTTGTCCGCCTTCCAGAAGCACACCTATCTTTTGATGTGTCTGCCAGCCAACTCAGCAGCACGAAAAGCTATTGAACACTATGAACCTTCGGACGCCAACTACCAGCACGTACTCAACATTTTGAAGGACCGTTTTGGAGATTCAAAGAGACTTATTGACAACTTGTACTCAGAACTGATGCACTTACCGAGGGCAACGGATGCATCATCATCACTACGCAACTTTATGGACACAGTGGACAGAATATGCTATCAATTGGAGTCACAGGGACAATCGCCTGACTCAACTCAAACTATGTTGCAGATCCGAAGCAAGCTACCCTCTGGCGTGCTGCGAGAACTACTAATGCGTGAAAAGGAATCTCGCCGGCCATGGACCCACAAGGATCTACTGAAGCAACTGCAAGAAATCATCAGTCTCAAGGAAGAAGTTTTGCACTGTGTACACTCAATGGACGACTCAACTCATGTCAAAAGGGAGAGGAAACCTCAACAGACACCACCACGTGATATTGTGAGATCCTTTGCCGCAGCCACACAGCCTCGTTGGAATCAGCAACGGCAATACAACAGAGGAACATGCTCACTGTGTGCTAAACAAGGACATTTGCCCAGCCGCTGCCGCGTTTACTCAACTGCAAGGGACCGACTGAGAAGACTTATAGAAATGAATAGATGCATCAGATGCCTCAGGGATGGACATCATGCACGCAACTGTCAAACTCGAAGGACTTGCTTAAGATGCAAGGGACCTCATCACCTTTTGGTCTGCCAACAAGCAGCAGCAACCGAGAATCGTCAGTGGACAAGACAACAAGCAAAGAGAAGTGTTCAATTCAATCTACCGCAACAGGACAGAATGATCAAGGCGCGGAGCTCGCCTACTAAACTAAAGCCGTTTAAAACTACAGTTGCACAACAGAACAAGAATAAACTCGAGGAACCAGCCTCAACACTCAGTCTTCATACAAGTGGTCCAGCAAAGAAGAATGCTCTGTTACTTACACGACATATAATGGTTACATCACGTGGACGCCGAACAAAGAAAAAAGTTTGTGTACTCTTCGACCCAGGCAGTATGGCCAGCTACATCACAAAGGCTCTTGTAGATGAACTGCACCCGCCGCGCGTTGGTGCCGAACAAATGGAAGTTGAAGCTTTTGGAGGATCAATGAATGACCCGCTCAAATTTCACTCGCCTATGTACGAACTCAAGATGCAACGTTCAGATGGAACATGGGAGAATTGTGTGCTCAACCGTGTTCAAGAGATTACCAACCCGTTCAATACTGTTCACTGGGACGACAACAAAGAATTTATGCATGGAGCTAACATTGAAGATGCTGTTACAACTTCACATGAGGCACCAGCAATTATGATTGGCATTCGTCACTTTTGGAAGTACTTTACTAGCTGGAAATCAATTTCATCCGGACTCTACCTTATTGATACTATCTTTGGCAAAATGGTTGGAGGAGAGTCAACTTTTCGACTCAACCGCTCAAACAAATCAGTGGCAGTGATTTCAATCAACAAATGCGGTGCAGAACGAATGCTAACCAAAGGCAACGATAAGTGGCTCAGCTTCAAAGGAAATGGAACTCAACCTAGAATGCACAAAACAACTCAGAGACAACCTGTAGACAGAGCACTTGAAATGGAAGAACTTGAGTCAACAGACCATCAGAAAGATCAATCTGCAAAGCCAGCTAAACAACTAACTACTAAGACGTGGAATCTTCGTCCGAGAGCAAAACAGAAAACAACGTTGACTGTTATTACACCATGGATTTTGGCAATTATATGCTTGCTCAACTTGCTAGCCCCAGTCTCAGCCTTGGTGGATTGTGCTAAATGTCTACTTACATGTTCGAACAAAGGAATTTTGGTCAGCACACCACCACAAATAACAAAAATGGAAATTTGCTGTGAAGGAGATTGCCTGATACGACAAGCTTCACCAAATGTTACTTATGAACTGCCTCAGGAAATGTTACTACAGGCTTACACTTGCAAGAGTTACTTCTGGACGACTACCAGCGAAACTTGTGCCGTCCACACTACTTGCCCAGCAATAGGAGACTGTTCACTGATTGATTGTCTCTTCTGTATTGACCACGTCGCCAACCCAACATGCAGTCCAAGATGGGCAGCATTTTTGACAGGACTTGTTATGAGCTTTACTATTTGCTGTTGCGGATGTTTACTATGTTTATTACGAATTTTTAGCTTCAATGTTCGTGCACTTATGTCAATATGTTACTGTATAGTGGGATGTGGAACACTATGTACAAGGAAAACTACTCAACAGGCTCAAACTTTGGCTAGAACTACAGGAATCGCAGCAAGAGCTCGAATTATGAGACAGCAATTGAACTTAGCAAGCCGCAACTTACAGCAGACCGGACAGGAATGGAGACGTGCTCACCTGGACCGGATACTTGGTAGACGACCCGCACCTTCGAATTGGATACCTTTGGTCGTGCTACTCACTTTGGCCCGTCAAACTTATTCCTCCAATACCGTGGCAGTCACAACGAAGTCAGAGAGCTGCCGACGAGGACCGACAGGAATATCTTGTGTGCTCAACTACGCCACAACATTAACTTTGCTACCAAAGGCCAAACAACTACTTTGTTACTTCGGAACGAACATGGAATTGCTCTGGGAACTTTGAGTATTATTGTGGATGCCCTCACAATGGATTGTGTGCCGAAATCCGAGGGATGGTACCGGAGCTATACTATGGAAACACTTGCTGTCAAGAGATGTCCTACTAGTGGATCATGCAAAGAAAACTACTGTGCAAGTATCAGACCGTCAACAGTCATACCAGAACTACGAGAAGTCAACAGTTTACCTGGAATTTCGCGATGTGAACCAAGCTCATCATTTTGGTTTCAAGGATGCGCCCTACCTACGAGTGCATGCCTGTTCTACCGGACTTTTGCTCGTCCAACTACTGGAAACACTTTTGAACTCATCACTTGTCCGACATGGGAGTTCAATATACACGCAAGTTTACAACTAGAGGTCAGTGGGAAGAAACCTCTCATGGAATCAATGGTACTGCACCCTGGAATGACTTTTAACTGGAACAACGTTTCTGTGACACCAATCGCTGTCGCTGCACCCCCGGCACCAGTCTTGAACCGGCAATTCATCACTGATGGGACCAGCGTGGCAATGGTTGAGAATATACCAAGAGACTTGGATTGTGCAACTGAATCAGATGCTAGAATGTTCAACTGTAGCATATCAAATACTGTTTGCGTCGACTGTAT